AATTTCTGTCTTTAACACATTTTATCACCTTGTTTGCCTGCACTGACACATGTACCTGCCATTAAAAACAAGATTTTCCTCTTTAAAATAACAGCTTGAAAATAAGATTAGATTTCAGATTTTTTTCTTACCTGAGACAGAAATGGTCATGGGTGCTTCCAGGGGCCTGTCATTGTCCAGGTCCCTGCTCAACCTCAGATCCCCGGTGTCCTCATTCAGCAGCAGCAGACTGAGCTCATTTCCAGATTCAAACTTGTACCGTAGCTTATCCGACACATCTGGGTCATGAGCCGGTACCTTTCCTATTATTCCTGATGGAAAACTGTTCGACTTGTTGGTGACATAGTTGTTGAAAATAATCTCAAAGTTCTGCAGCACCGGCTCATTGTCATTCATGTCTACAAGGCGGATGTGCACAGTGGCCCGACTCACCAGTGGTGCTGAGGTGGCCTGGACCACGATGACATACTCTGTTTTAGTCTCATAGTCCAAGTCTGTGAGCGCAGTGAGGTCACCGTTAAAAATGTCTAGCTGGAAAACTTCTGGAATATTCCCTTCCACAATCTGATACATGATCTGAGCATTGGTGCCCTCATCGGGGTCGGTGGCAGAGATTCTCGCCACGACGGACCCCACCGGGCTGTTCTCCTCCACGTCAATGAACAGCTCGTCCTTCTCAAACACTGGAGCGTTGTCATTTATGTCTTGGACGACCACATGAATGGGAACAGCTGCTTTCAGAGGCGGAACCCCCCTATCCACAGCAAAAGCCTTCAGATTGTAAACAGGAACGTTTTCCCGGTCCAGTTTGCGAGCTGTTCTGATGATACCAGAGTACGGCTCTATGACGAAATCCCCGTCTCCATCATCACCACCCTGGAACGTATAGCTCAACCTGCCATTTGAGCCAGAATCTCTATCTGAAGCAGAGATCTGGAGAACGCTGGTGTAGAAAGGTGCATCTTCAAATACAGTCCCCTGGTACATATCCCTAAGAAACTGAGGAGTATTATCATTGGCATCTTGGATTATTATCTCCACATAGGTGGTATCAGATTTCTGAGGGATGCCATTGTCTCTGGCAATAATGGCTAATGTGTAGGAGGCCTGGTCTTCATAGTCAATCTCCATTTGTGTTGTGATGGCACCTGTGTCTGGGTCTATTTTAAACTGAGGAACATTGTCTTCCATCACGTACGTAATGCGAGCATTTTCCCCCGTGTCTTCGTCAGTCGCACTGATTACCGCCACAGTGGAGCCCACAGGTCTTTCTTCGTTGAGCATTACCTGGTAGTTTGCACTTTGGAAGACGGGCCGGTGCGTGTTGGCGTCTGTCACATTGATGAACACCTGAGCGGTGTCGTAGCGCGTTCCATCGCTGGCGGTGACTGTCAGGACGTACTGGCGTTCCTGCTTGTAGTCCAAAGGGAGGGCTAAGGTGATGAGGCCGCCGCCACTCTGGCTAGTGATGGCAAAGCGGTTCCTGGTGTTGCCGCTGGATATCTGATAGGTCACCACACTGTTGACATCCCTATCCACAGCAGTCACTGTCAGTACGCTGGTCCCCACGACAGCATCTTCATTGATCTTCAGCGAGTAGGTCTTCTCTGTAAATGTGGGTACATTGTCATTCACATCAAGCACCGTGATGCTGACGCTGGCAGAGGAGGACATCACAGGTATCCCATGATCTCTCGCCTCCACGCCAAAGGTGTAGAAGTCAGTGGTCTCCCTGTCAAGCTCTTCACTCACTGTAATCCAGCCTGTGCTGTTGTTGATGGTGAAAGGAAAACCAGGCGTGGTGTCAGTTAACCGGTATTCCAAAAGGGCGTTTTTTCCTGAATCACCATCAATTGCTTGAATATGGATCACGGAGTAACCAATGGCCACATTTTCCAACACAGTAGCCTGGAAAGGTGTGCTGACAAACATGGGGACATTGTCATTCACATCCATCACCTGCACCACCACCATCCCTGTGCCATTTATCAGAGGAGGCCTGCCACCATCCTGAGCCTTAATCCTCAAATTATACTCCCGAATCATCTCATAGTCCAGAGGGTTGATGACATCAATCACACCGGTGGGGGAGTGAATGTAGAACTGGCCCTTAACATTGCCACTGATGATGCTGTAATGAACTTTGGCATTGTTTCCCTCATCTCTGTCTGTAGCTTCCACCTGGATGACTTTGGTGTTGACTGCCACATTCTCTGGGACCTTTACAACATACCTCTTTACACTGAACTGTGGGTAGTTGTCATTCTCATCCTCCACAGAGATGTTGACAGTGGCGGTGGCACTGCGGGGACTTGGGTCTTTGCCCTGGTCATTGGCCTCAACTATCAGCTGGTACTTGGCCCGGGTCTCCCTGTCAGGCCGCTCTCTGATCCTCACCAGGCCATTGCGGGAGTCGATTTCAAACACAGAGTTAACTCCATCGCCGTTGACAATTTTATAAATCATGTTGGCGTTGGAGGGAGCGTCCCCATCAGTGGCCCGGATCGTCATCACTTCAAAGCCCACTTCGACATTCTCCCGGATGCTAACACGGTATTCAGTTTGCTCAAACACCGGGCTGTGGTCGTTGGTGTCACTCACAGTGACAGTGAGGTAAGAGGTGGCAGATCTTTTGGGGGAGCCACTGTCAGTTACAGTGACTTTGAAAACATGTGTGTCTTTGACTTCTCTGTCTAGTGACTGGACGGTTGTAATGCTCCCTGTCTGAGAGTCAATGTCAAAAAGGTCATTGGACCTGCTGTCAAACAAGGCTTCCATGCTGTACTCCAGCCTCCCTGCCTCTCCATCATCCGGGTCAGTGGCTTTCAGGGTGATAACCCGTGTGCCTGCAGGCTCATTCTCGGGCACAGACACCTGATAGTTGGGGAGCTGGAACTGGGGAGGCGAGTTCGCCTGTCGCTTACCCCTGTGGATCAATTTGCCAGACTTTCTCTGGGTGGTTTCCGAGAAGGATCCATGTTGTTTAGGCACTTTTACGAGCTTAAGACTGAGCTGCACGGAGAGCCTGCCGCCTGGAGAGCTATGCAACACACAGTGCAAATTCACCTCGGGCTGTCCTCTGTGATCATGACATAAGTCACTGGCCAGGAACAGAGCCCCATGCCTGAACACTGCACTCAACTCTCGTCCGACACACATGCTGTCCAGAAAGGTGGTGCTCCGCGTAAAGGTGGGCAAAAGTTCTGTTACATTCAAAAGCAACTTACCTGCGGGTAAGCAGGAAGTTGCCTCCAGCTTTGAAAGGTGTTTAATGTGAATGTCTGGCTTACCTGTCGCTTTCTTTCTCTTGTATTTAATAAAACAGTCCTGGCCGTGGACAAACACATTAAACTGTGTCAGAATAACGTCCCCAGATGTTGAAGAACCTGTTCTGAAATAAACAGGCGCCGGGTTCCTCGGTGTGTGCGCACACGGAACTTTGTGGGACAGACGGATAACTCCATCGTGCCTCTCAACCTGGAAAAAGCTTTGAATGAATTTAGTGGATAAAGTCCTGTCAATTTTATAAGTCCAACCAGGGCCGAGCGATAGGTTTGCCAGAAGTGTCCCGGGCTGTAAAGTCTCCGAAAGGTGCATCTCCAAACATCCCGCAAGCGGCACGCTGAACAGGACACAAACCCAAATCCAATACATCGATAGCTCCATGCTTTTAAACTTGCCAAATCCCATTCAACTTCATCGAAACTCCTCTGCAAACACATTAACTCTCCCTCTCCCAGCACAGCGTTTTACTTTTATCCCTCATTGTGAAGTTTTAACGTGGAAAAAGACGCTCGGTATCCATAGTATCAGCGTATCCACAGCGCGCAGCGGCTGCGTTAACCCACACTGAGTTTAAAATGAGTACAAAATGGCTCCGTGGCTCTCCTCCGCCTCCTCCTCCTCCTCCTCTCCTCCTCAGAGCCTTATTACCATAAACCTGCTGTGTCCCCCCTCTGGGACGCTTTCACAGGGGGGGCTTTTTTTTTCTCATGGAGATTTAGGAAGTGGCTCTGACCGGGTGACCAATGCGCGCAAGTGCATTGTTATTACAATAGGGTGAGAGATGGGTAAAATTCCTAATGCGTGTCTGAGTGTCGCTCCCTCTTCAACTTTTGTTTGTTGGAGTAGTTGTAAGCATCGATGGCACATTGTGAAAGAGAGATTCAAAAATAGTTGAATTAAGACCTGAAGTTCACAAGTTTGAGAAACTGAATTGAGTTTTTCAGCCACTAATTCTGACTATTTAAATCAGCTCCTACTCATCTGTTAATGTAAAACAAAAACTGATTTTAACAAACCAACCACACCACTATTAGAGCTCTATAAACCAAAATGACCAAAAAGACAATTATAACCCTTGTTAATCAATATATTATTCATATATGGTTCTTGGTGAGTTGTTGAATGGTCTTTAGTAATAATTTTAGGATAACATGAGGTTTCACAAAATAAGCCTGGCTTAAAAGGTTAAAAGATAAAAATATGATATATAACCTTTTATAATTTACTTATGTTTTGGGTTTAATTTTCCCTTAAGAAGATTGCATAATGGTATAATCAACAAAACTTATTTGTTTATTTCTTACTATTATCAGTGTTTGAGCCTTTGTCTTCTGTATTCTCCTCACATTTGTGTATTTTCTCCCCACAAGAAAACCAGTTTTAAGCTGACAGATGAAAAACAGGAAAACTTTTCAAAAATGACCAAACATGAAATTCCTTCAGGGAAAACAGACAATATGATGACATAGAATGAAGTTGTATAATTAGGCTAGGACGTGACAGTCATTAGGATTCATTAGGATATACAAGCATGTTGTTGTGTACAAAACAATGCCTACTCCAGAATAAGAAGTTCAACCTGGAGGTTAATCTTGTATAATAGCGCCCCCCTGTGGATCAAAAACTACAGAACAACTAATGCATGACTTATGTATTTTTGAAGTATACAATGACTCTGGAAAGATTATTTCAGCATACAGGCCAGTAGAAACAAGTCAACACATCACTCATTAGATTTATTCACTCATATGTAAAAGTATTTACAGTTTGTAGTTCAGGAAGAACTCATGTTCTACGACCTACACTCCTGAACAAAATCTTAAGACCGGGGGAAAAATTACACATGGAGCAACGTTCCCACCATCCTCCTGGAAACACTTGCATCAAGCATGCCTAAATTAATTTTTGAAGTGATAAACAACATCGGTGGGGCTTCTTACTACCGAGTCCTTTTTTGACACTTTGTCTGTTTTGGGGTTTAATTTGGGCTATGGTCTTAAACTTTTGATCAGCTGATGAACTGCCTGTTTGTGTTTAAATGCAGTTTTTAATAAATTGCTACACTATTTTTTTGTCTCTTGTCCTGTTTCTTCTTTTTGCATTTTGAAGCTCTACTTACAACCTGGATATGTTCCACCAGCACGAAATGCAAATACTTTTTCTCCCGGTCTTAAGATTTTGTTCAGGAGTGTACAACAATGCCATCTGAAGAGAAAAGGCACTTTAAATGTTCTTATAGGATTGTTTAAAACAAAAAATTATTCAAATATGTATATTTCAAAATATGGAGTGACAGTATAAAGCAGTTGAGTAACAAGTTTAACAATTGAATTGCTTTTCAATTGTTTAGAACAACTGAACCAACTGGCTCAAAATGTGTAAAATAATACATAACACCATATTCTGGTTATTTTGAATATTATTTTAATTGCAACTGTTTGTTAACTTGGCATGTTTTTAGAAAAATAATTTCTCCTATGTTCACCATTAACTGGCTTTTCAACACAACTTTTCCTCAGAGGAGAAAACTGAATAACACAAACAAACAAACAACAAAAGGGGGCAGAGTTTCTACTTACGTACTAAAGTATTAATCTAGTTCATCAAAACACAATCGTTCAAAGAACCAAGTAGAGTACTGTAGGTTTGTAGTTGGCACAGAGGCAGGGTGAACATCAGTGACATTCAACCAAGGTCAAGGATGGGAGGGAAATTCATGGAAAAGGTAAGCATCCTTAAAACTGACAGGAAGAGCTACAGTAAATGACAAGTTTAAATCCCATCTTACTGAAGAGAATATCATTGTCACTTTCATTCACAGTCAAGAGGGCCAAATAATTGTGCCATAGATAAATATCTCTAGTGGACATGAGTAGTTAATCCTGCTTAAAGAGTCAGATCCCACAGAACTTCCTATGCTTCAGTTAATCCTGGGTCGCTCACAGGTTTCCTACCATTAGAATATAAAAAACAACACTAAAAGGGTTGAGACTACCAGTCTTAAAAAGTCCTTGAAAAAGACCACAGGTCACAACAAGTGAGTACAGACTGTATGAAGACAAAAACACTCAAATTCAAAAGTTTGAGTTGAGGGATTGTTTCCCATTTACTGAACCATTTTAGAGCTGGATACTTTTTAAAACTCCAGTTCCAAACGATAACCACAGTTCTGGCAATTATCCTCCAGCATGTCTTAGAAAATACCTTAAACCTAAACCTTAAACCTTACTTAAATATATATACCAGATCAACTACAACTTACATCAAAGTGCAGGTCTTCTTTACAATGCATAGAAAACAATAACAGCAGCTCTGTTGTTATCGTGAATGTTCAATGGAGAATCTGTTGAGCATAAATAATAGTAACCGGTGTATATCATCTGTTCAGTGACGTTTGACATGTAATAGCGAGTAGTCGGGAAAAATATTTTTAAAATGAGGTTACTGTTACTTATCAAACCATCTTATCACCATTTAGTCTCCACTCCAAAACACACGTAGGCTCAGATGCAGATGGTATCGAAGCCCAAATACAATAAAACAGTATGGAAATCCACCCTTTTTCCCCTCGTGTTATCAATACTGTTGACACGTCAAAGTTTAAAAACAACCAAGTACCGCCTCCAACAAGGCACTATGTCTCAAAGCCCAGTTTAAGAGGCTTTTTTTTTTGTATGGACAGGGTGATCTACCTAATGTACCGGACAGAGCTCATTTCCACCATGGCCGGGCTGTGAGGTCAGTCTCAGCTGGCTGGTTCGGGGGTCTGCTGCTGCTTGATCTGCGTGGCTGCTAACAACCGCTCTCTGCCCTGCTGGAGCGTGTATTCACTGGGCCCCAGTTGGACAATCTTCCCACTACCCAGACACTCGTCACCTTTGTAGAGCACAGCAAACTGGGGGAGGAATGGAAAGACAGACAAAATACACTTATACCTCTACAGTAGGAGAGAGGAATGTGATTGTGTGTATGTTTTAAGTGTTAGATTATAACTGGTGTTACACTGTATTCTGTATCTCTTACCTGTCCAGGTGTGAGAGCCCTTAATGGCTGTGAGAGTGAGATCCACACGGAGCCGTTCATGTTCAGCGTCACCGTACAGGGAACTGGAAAGCACAGTGGTTTTCTTGTTCATCAAATAATGTGCTCTCTGCATGTCACTTCTTGTCGCTGATCAATGTGCAGGCACTGACAGCACCAAACTCACCGAGTGGCATCTGGTGGATGAAGCGGAAATGACACTCCATCATCTGAGTCCTGGCTAGTTCAGCAGGCGGGTCAACTGCTATCCAGTGGAAGCGGTCGGTCCGCAACGTGTCACGGAAAAGAGACGGGTGATTGGTAGTTGGAGCCTGATTGGTGAGAAATGTAAGGAATAAAGTACCAGCAAAAACTGATGAATCAAACTGAATGCGCCTTAAAAAGTGAGAAAATTTCTATGTTAATTCTAAATGTTATTAAGCATTTTCTTCAAGGTAGAGACAACATAAATTATGCGGCCATCCTCCTGAGATTTATGGGTATTATATTTCATTAACGCAATTATATAGTGCTTGGGAAAAAGAAACAGACAACACAACATACAGTGGCTTGGGAAAATATGTTAAGAAGGAAATCAATTCACAAAAAACCTTTAAACTCTAAATCATACTATGCTGTGTCGTTTCAGAGGAGACAGAAGACAAGGAGGATGCTTCCACTATAAAAGCAGAGACAGACTTTCTCACCACAAACACATCTCCAGTAGTGATATCTTTGTCCACCACAAACAAGGCGTCTTTCTGCCCTCCTATCCTCGCCCTCTGGCCCAGTGTCAGAGTGAACCAGCCTGGATGGACAGAGACACACGGGGAAATGACAAGAGACAGGACAGGAGGTACACCGTAAGTTGTTTAAAATGTTGTAGGAACACAGATTTAGAGGAACGAGTGGACGGCAACGTGGAAAAGGGTCATTTTAAGTTGGTTTTAATTAAACATATTAAGAGCCATTACATTCTGTTTGTATAACAGTGACACAGCAGCTCTTCATTTTGTCAGAGAACCAACCACAAACATACCTTTGTGTGTTCCCACGACCGTCCCGTCATCGATGGAGACAAAGTTCCCTGGTTTAGGTTCCAGATACTGAAAACAGAAGAAAGAAATCAGTGCAGGTTTAAATGTATCTCTTTATAAATGACAGCTAAAAATAAAAATACCGAATCAGCCAAATTAAGTGGCACACATACTTAAATCTTACCTCCAAAATAAAGTTTTCAAAGTTTCTCTCTCCAATGAAGCAGATGCCCATGCTCTGGAAAGACATTAACACAGTTTACTCTCAGCATACAATGTAAATAAAAATGATATAATTATTTCGGCTCTCCTGATGTAATACAACGATAATTAAATACCTTTCGTTGCGTGCGTGCTTGTGTGTGTGTGTGTGTGTGTGTGTGTGTGTGTGTGTGTGTGTGTGTGTGTGTGTGTGTGGCTACCTCTTTCCTCTTCAGCACATGGTGAAACCCCGCCTCAGCAGCAATCTTTTTGACAAAACCTTTGGTAAGTCCAGCCAGTGGGAACAGGGTTTGTCGCAAGGCATCCTGGGAGATCTGACTGAGGAAGAAGGTTTGGTCTTTGACGAGATCTGCTCCCTTGCACAACTTCACCGCTGGACAGAGGGGAGAGAAAAAAGATTGTTAAGGCAGTCAGAGGGACTGATCTTAAAGCCGGTGCTGCGTTCACTGCCAGTAAAAACTTAGAGTGAAATAGAGAAGGTGAAACATTAAACTAAGGGGGGGGCGACAAGAGCAAAACTCTTACGATTTCTAATCTCAAATCGATCTCTGAAGAGAGAGGTAGGCGGGGCTGTGTACGTCTGTTGGAAAACCTCTTCATCTTCCTGTGATGTCCTGGCGTAGTGGCCAGTTGCCATGGCATCAGCACCTTATAGTCAACAACAGCACAACACTAATTAAAAGTCATATTTAACAAGATGTATTGTACTGTGTCTCAGTTCAACAAACAAATATTAAGCGTTTGGGAATGACTTTATGTGAGCGTCCAACCACATTGTGATTACATACCCAGTGTGTCGACAGCGTACTTGTGGAAATGGTTGAACTTTATGTGTTTGTTACACAGTATATCTGGGTTTGGGGTCCTGCCCTTCTCATATTCCTTCAATAGGTTACTGAAAGTGGCAAAAGACAGATGTAACACTGAAAAGTTCTTAAATGAAAACGTGTTTACGATGATTCATGCATGGCAGCCCCACAAATACCTAAAAACTTCGTGCCAGTACTCTTTGACATAAGACACTTGATGGAAGGGGATGTCCAGGATCTGACACACTCTGAAAGCGTCCTCACAGTCTTTCTCTGCAGTGCACAGCCCCTTCTCATCCTGCAAGTCCCAGTTCTTCATAAAGACTCCTGTTACACTATAACCTGCACATGGAAGAGACAATAATAACAACGATATGTGACTAGGCTAGCACATTCAGACAGAAGCAGAACCTGTGTTGGATTTAGGCCTGTTATAATAATTATCGACTTATTGTGTAATATATACGATATGTAATTATTCATTCACAATATCGACTTACTGTTTAAGAATTGAACCAACATTTCAGCTAACATGATGCCAGAATAAACAGAAGGCTTTTCCCAAGCATTACTATATTGTCTTTTAAGGAAGGAATGACTCTATAGACAACCACTGTGCCAAATGTTTTATATTTATTTTAGAGTCAAGTTTCTTTATTGTTTCAGTTGTACGGTTACATGTATTTTTACTTTATCAAGGACGTTTTCATATTTTGTTATAGTTCAATTCAAATGTCTGAATATTAAATTAAAAGTGAATTGCACTTAGAGAGGGTGAACTTACATTACTATGCTTATCTTATCAGTGGCATAAAATGGTCTTAAAATGACAATAACATTGTTTAACGCAATGATATCTGGGACAGTACATCACGTAACACAAATAGCTGACAGGGCTACTTGGGTTTTAATATTCAGAGACAAATAAATAGCTTGTTATTCGGGTAGAGCGGTGTCCATCGTTAGCTCAGTGTGTTTCAGTGTTTCTGTCAGTCAGGTTGTTCTCACCTCTTCTCTTCAGTAACAGCGCAGCGACAGAGCTGTCAACGCCGCCGGACATGGCGCACACGACGTGTCTAATAAAACCCATAGCTTCGACGTATACTCGTTTCTATGAATGGTAGTTTTCTGGTTTCACTAAGAAAAGTCAGCTCACTGCTCTTCATTGTCAGGAGCAGCCATGTTTCAAGTCGGTTTGATAATAAGGTCCGACCAGAAACACGTTTCAAAACTGGAACGAGGAAGCTGGTGGGAGCCGTAAAGATTGTAACACTGTAAACATCACGGAGCTGTCACTCTTTAAAGTAACTGGAAAAAAGCAAACCAGTACTAAGGTTAGTGGGGAATGAGTGTAATGCACTAAATATATCTGTATGGTTAACTTAACGAGTCTTTTGTAAAAAGCTGGTTTTGTGATGCAGCGTTCATTAGCTTTTCTTCATAAATCTGTAACTCTGCGTCCAGTATCAACAGACCAGCTAAAATATATTTTATTATATATTTTATATTTTAGCTAGCTAATTATAAAAGTATTTACAATATTATTCGCATTTTGTACAGAAAATGAAGTTAGGATAATGTTCAGGGCAGATTTGACTTCCTATAAAAACAATAATACAAAAAATACTCTAGTCATTAAAAAATATATAGTGCTTGTTATTAACATGAATTAATTAAATGCATATTTTTTTATGTCAGCCTACACAGTATAAATGTGTTCCTGATATTAAACTGTGTTTTTTTTCTGATACAGATGGGAGAGGTGTCTGCAGACGCCATCACCTTGGATCTGCTGAGAGACGCCAGGGAGACGGTGAGAAGCAGCCCGCTGGGTGTTATCAACACTCCCACAATCCCCTGGTGCCAGACGACCCTGCCTCTCAACGTCCACTGCAACATCCACATCAAATTGGAGAACATGCAGAGAACTGGTTAGAGGAAACCCCTTTGATTCACATCACCTCGCAGCCCTCTCAGTTATCACTTAAGAATTGTGTTACATTTAATTGACAGGGTCGTTTAAGATCAGAGGAGTGGCCAATCAGTTTGCCAGGAGACCGAAGGGTGGTCATTTTGTCACCATGTCTGCCGGGAACTATGGGAAGTCTTTTGCATACGCCTCAAAACACTATGGGTCAAAGGGGAAGGTGGTGATGCCGGAAACTGCCCCAGTGTCCAGATCCATCCTCATACAGGTCAGAGGACACAGACAGATTCAAAATCCCTCCTGCTGCTGTAGGTATACTTTGTGATGAAAGTCTCATTCTCGTCCTCAGAGTTTTGGGGTGGAGGTGGAGCGTGTTCCCACCTCCTGTCTGATGAATGTGGTGAACCGCTGTGTTCAGGAGGACAATATGACCTTCCTGCACTCCTATGATGACCTGGATCTAATAGCAGGACACGCCAGGTACACTCAGGGCCGACTGTGAATTGAAGATTATTCAAAATCTCATTTAATGCGTCAGAGAAACGGGCTAAAACTACCATTATTTAAAATGACAGCCTTAACCTGTATGTTCAGTCTCGGTATGGAGGTGCTGGAGGTGATGCCTGAGCCCGACGTGGTGGTGGTGTGCTGTGGTGGAGGGGGCCTGCTGGCCGGGGCAGCTGCTGCCATCAAACTGTCAGGCTGTGATAAGACCAGAATCTACGGTGTGGAACCAGAGGGAGGTAAAACTAAAGAGGAGCAGGAGCGTCACCTAGTTCCACACACCACACATCCCAGCAAGCTCGGTGAACTTGTTGTGACTTTGTGTTTTCTGTTTGAACTCAGCCTGTACCATGTACAAAAGTTTCATTGAGAAGAAGCCAGTGGGCATGGACGCCAAGAGCATCGCCTCAGGACTTGCGCCACCTTTTGCAGGTATTATTCAAGCTGTTTCTTATATTTTTCTTCCCTGCTTTAAATTAGACCTTGTTGGTCTATTCTTAACCTACAAAGACTGTAGTTTTTCTGGTCAAATAGAGAAAGAAAAGGCAATTCACCACAAAATTATAATTTTTCTACACAGAGAACGGACAAAAAGTTGACTATGCTCTTCTTTCCATTTATGGTCACATTTTTCTAAAAATCCAGTTCCCAGAAGCAAACAGAAGTATTATTAGTTATTATGTTGTTTTGGTGATTGAAGAACTGAATGCTTTTTCATTTTGCATCTCTCCTTTTCTTTGCATCCCAGGCACACTGCCCTTCGAGCTGTGTCGGCGTTACGTGGAGGGGATCGTCCTTATAAACGACGAGGAGATCAAGGCGGCGGTGTCCACCCTCTACAGGTCTGGACTCGTGGTGGAGCCGTCGGGCTCCGCCGCGTTCGCCGCCATCATTAGCAACAAGATACCCGAGCTGGAGGGGAAGAACGTGGTGTGCATCCTCAGCGGGGGGAACATCGGAAAAGACGAGCTTGCCAACTTCCCGGACTGACAAATATTCAAGATTATACACTACCAGTCAAAAGTTTGGACACACCTTCTCATTTAATGGTTTTTCTTTATTTTCATGACTATTTACATTGTAGATTCTCATTGAAGGCATCAAAACTATGAATGAACACATATGGAATTATGTAGTAAACAAAAAAGTGTGAAATAACTCTAAATATGTTTCATATTTTAGATTCCTCAAAGTAGCCACCCTTTGCTTTGTTGACAGCACTGCAAACCCTTGGCCTTCTCTCAATGAGCTTCATGATGTACTCACCTGAAATAGTTTTCACTTCACAGGTGTGCCTTGTCAGGTTTCATCTGTGGAATTTCTTGCCTTCTTAACGGGGTCAGGACCATCAGTTGTGTTGTGCAGAAGTCAGGTTGGTACACAGCTGACAGCCCTATTTGACAACTGTTAGAATTAGAATTATGGCAAGAGCCAATCAGCTAAGTAAAGAGGAACGACAGTCCATCATTACTTTAAGAACTGGAGGTCAGTCAGTCCGGAAAATTGCAAAAACTTTCAATGTGTCCCCAAGTGCAGTTGCAAAAACCATCAAGCGCTACGACGAAACTGGCTCACATGAGGACCGCCCCAGGAAAGGAAGACCAAGAGTCACCTCTGCTGCTGAGGATAAGTTCATCCGAGTCACCAGCCTCAGAAATCGCAAGTTAACAGCACCTCAGATTAGAGCCCAGATGAATGCCACACAGAGTTCTAGTAGCAGACACATCTCTACAGCAACTGTTCAGAGGAGACTGCGCAAATCAGGCCTTTATGGTCAAATAGCTGCTAAATAACCATTACTAAGGAAAAGCAACAAGCAGAAGAGATTTGTTTGGGCCAAGAAACACAAGGAATGGACATTAGACCAGCGGAACCCGCTGTGTCTTTGTGCGATGCAGAAAAGGTGAACGGATGGTCTCTACATGCATGGTTCCCACCGTGAAGCATGGAGGAGGAGGTGTGATGGTGTGGGGGTGCTTTGCTGGTGACACTGTTAGTGATTTATTCAAAACACACTGAACCAGCATGGCTACCACAGCATCCTGCAGCATCATGCCATCCCGTCCGGTTTGCGTTTAGTTGGACCATCATTTATTTTTCAACAGGACAATGACCCCAAACACACCTCCAGGCTGTGTAAGGGCTATTTGACCAAGAAGGAGAGTGATCTGGCCTCCACAGTCACCTGACCTAAACCCAATCGAGATGGTTTGGGATGAGATGGACCACAGAGTGAAGGCAAAAGGGCCAACAAGTGCTCAGCATCTCTGGGAACTCCTTCAAGACTGTTGGAAAACCATTTCAGGTGACTACCTCATGAAGCTCATCGAGAGAATGCCAAGAGTGTGCAAAGCAGTAATCAAAGCAAAGGGTGGCTATTTTGAAGAATCTAAAATATAAAACATGTTATTTCCAATGTAAATAGTCATGAAAATAAAGAAAAAACATTGAATGAGAAGGTGTGTCCAAACTTTTGACTGGACTTTTCTTACATGTCTCAGCCAATACTTTGCCTTTTCTTCATGTATTTTACTTGTCGTGTCTTCATAGTGTAACATGCTGTGAAGATGAAAAAAACGGGTCGGGTCACTTAAAGGGGATTTAAAAGAACAAAAGCCAAGATGTTTAAGACAACCAGTATTTAATATTCTCTTCTGAGGCTGACAAGGTTTGAATGAAATTTGGCTCGTATCTGAATCTTTCATGTCAGTGTTGTGGTTGCGGATATATCTTTAAAATCTGATTGAGAGCTAGCTGATTTTTGGCCCAGAGCTCTTTGGATTCATTATTCACAGATTCCTGGCATGAGACCAGCTTTACGTCACTGTCCCCTGCTGTCAGAAAACTCGGAGCCCACCATCAACTGACAGAGACAAAAAATAACTGTAACAGAAAACGTTTATAGGAAGGACTGAGAAGCATGAAAAGTTGCTGAGGGAAGCTGATGCTAAATAAAGTGTTGTGACTTCCCTAACTACCTCTCAAACTTTTTCCACAACTGTCAGTCTAACAGTTGTATAGAAAATACAAGTAGGACAAAAGACACGTAAAGTCCCGGAAAAGATGTGTGAAAAATAAGCTAGATGAACTTAAAATGTGATAAAAGCGTTGATTTGAGTCTGTGTGGAATGCACAAAAGACAATATTTGCAGTTTTGGCACTTTACAATGTGGTGGAATAACATCTACAGCAGAAAATCCACATCTCACATGAAAAAAGGCAACCTTGTTTTTTTTTTTTTTTTTTAAGTCCTGTTCTGGTCCCTTTTTTCCTGTTGTAGCTACATGACATCTTTGGTGGCCATCCTGCATACAACTGCGTCCAGCAGAGTCCCGCACTTCTCCTCCTGGGGAGTGACTTTATACAGCTGAAACAAAGGCAAAAAAGAGGGAAGATTAACAGAAATTCTACTAAAATCTATTTAGTGAGTCGGTGTCATAGGTGTCCGGTCCATCAAAAAAGCACAAATCACATTTTCACTTATCACTTATTCCTTTCAGCTAATGGCTGAACACACAGATACCCATTTGCAGGGAATGAGTCACGTAAAATTAAAGCAGAGACGGATTACCTTTTTGATTTTTGCCTGGTCTGACAGCGAGGAAACATCCTCCACTGGAATCTGCCGTCCCTTCACCCTGGCTGTGATATCTGACAGAAACTGTGACTCCTCTTCGTTGTGAACCAGGACCACCAGGACGGAGTCATCGCCATCTGAGATCCCAAACCTTTTAAACGCATCTGAGATCTGTATTAGGGAGGGCATACACACAGGATTCATTTCTGTTTCCAGTTTATTCATGCACATTGTGGCTCTCCAGCTGATGTTCCCGTGCAGGATGTGTGTGCAACAAAAGGAATGTGTTCCCATTTCTAGATACAGTAGCTTATAGTGCCATAGTTACCATTAGTTAGGAGAGCAAAGGTTGAAAGCTACAAATGTCCCTGCATTAATAAAAAGAAGCATTTTCAAATGAACGATACAAAGAACTTACATTATTAGTTGGTGACAGGTTGAAGATTATTTCTGAGTATAAACTTCTTGTCTTCATTTTTCCACTTTTCTGTAAGTTAACAGCCTTGTTGGCAGCCACCAGCACTTGGAAAGAATCCACCAGCTGTAAAAGGAAAATAAAGTCTGATGGTGACTGAAGCTCCAGTGTCTTTGATTTTCTTTAACTTACTATAAAAGATGTGAGCAAGTGTAGAGGCAAAACAGGGAAGTAATACCATTGTTAGCTCATAGATATTATTAACAGTGTGATAAAACGTTGCTACAGCTGAGGGGAAATATCTCACCATCGTTGGGTTGATCAAGGCACCGTTTATTTTTCCCGCTACCGCACTCTGTCTCAATTCTGCGGCATTTTTGAGCTCCTTAAAAAGCACTTGAGTCACCCTGTGCTCGGGAAAAAGCTCTAATTCATGAGTTAAATGCATGTTGACTATTTCTTTTAACGAACTATAAAGAAATTGAGATGAAAGCCGCTTCACGTGAACGCCCGTACACGAGGGGAACCATAACACGGTGACACCGCTCCGGAGGAAAGTTCCTATTTAGGGAAAAAACTTTTCCACAAAAGCAAGAAAACGATACTTAGAGCGTTATCTTTATAAAAAAATAAAAAAATAAATAAAAAACATCATACGTATAATTTTGGTGGTTACTATTTGAAAGGCCAAACTATTTAGCTCAACGCAGGAACTAATAAAAAATACTAGAGTTTCCATACGGGGCATGTTTCCGAAGCGGATCGCCAGCTGTCAAAAATAAAAACTCTTCCGTTTATTAAAACTGGACAGGAGTTTAACCAGTTTCCACCCGACCTGAGATCCACAGTGCTTTTAATACGCGATTGTAGTCGTTATGCGGAACACACAGCATTACAGCAGCTAGCTTTTGACCTGCACTGACTTTGTTTTATCGGATTTGGTCGTCAAACATGGAGAAATTTGAAGGCTACATCTTCACTGCTCTCTGCAGCACCAACTTTTTGATATCCTGCCTGATTTTCTCCAGAGTCACTCGGGAGCAAAGGGAGCCGTACATGGACGAGATTTTCCACGTCCCACAAGCTCAGAAATACTGCCATGGAAAATTCAACGAGGTAAAGTGGCCGAGAGCGAGTCCCTCGTTGTTGTTTAGCGGATTAAGGTTAGCTATCAGCGGGGCTTTTGTCGTTTAACATCCCCGTGGCAGCTTGTGGAGCTTTTAATCTCTACATTGGACATATAGACTGGCATTAATGCAGAGGTATGTGGCTGAAAGGACTGTAGTATATAGGCAGGCTGTAGGAAAGAGGAGATTAAAGGAGCAGCATCATCGGTTATAAAGTGGGTTTTTTTCATGTTATTTCAGTACATATACACACACACACACACACACACACACACACACAGGTATAGCATGACATTATGAATACTAGTATAGAAAATGTTAAAGAATCTAACTAAAAGCAAGATAAACTTTGGAAAAGTGTTAGATGTCATGTGGAGTATATTCCTTTTAAAAACAGCAAACAAATATATTATGTATAATGATATAATGATTTTTAGTTCCTAATGGGTCAAACTACAAAAAAAATAATAGATCCTCTACTTCCCATAATGCCACTTGATAGTCTCTCTTTTGTAGGATGCTCCCTGCCTCGTAAACACCCACGCCTTTCAATCCCAAGACCTCTTTGTCCCCGGGTTGTAGCACAAACTTTCTGACAAAAATGTGTCATCTCCTATCCCGAGCAAGGAACAACTCTTATGACATCACCATGACATCATCAGGGTTCATTTCTTGGACTTTGGGAAAGCTCCTCCAGAGCCAGACACAGTGTCATACATCTATTTTCACATCTACTTAAACGTATCCTCATGTAAAACGTGTGTGTCTTTAACATGGTTTTGTCCCCTTTTCAGTGGGACCCAATGATCACCACTCTCCCAGGCCTTTACCTTGTCTCTGTGGGAGTCATCAAGCCTGTGGTGTGGCTTGCTGACCTGACAGGCGCGGTGGTGTGCTCCACGGCCATGCTGCGCTTCATCAACCTGCTGTTCAACTGCGGCAACCTTTACCTGCTCTATCTGCTCATCTGCAAACTGCACCTCAGGGAGAAGGTATTTCCAGATGACGAAGATAATCATGCATGATTTTGTTTGTGATTTTCTTGTCTCCTGACATCCCGTTTCCGCTCTTCCAGACGCGAACAACCTCACGCCGAGTCCTCTCAGCGCTTTCTCTGTCGACTTTCCCCGTGCTCTACTTCTTCAACTTCCTCTACTACACCGACGCCGGATCTACTTTCTTCATCCTCTTCACTTACCTCATGACGCTCTACGGCTGCCACAAGGCCTCCGCGTTCCTCGGCGTGTGCTCCGTGCTCTTCCGCCAGACCAACATCATCTGGGTGGCGTTCTGCACGGGCACCTTGGTGGCCGCCAAAATGGACGAGGCCTGGAGGTTGGAGCACACGAAGAAGAGGGATGAGAAGTCTCCTCTGTCCCAGGTGCCTCTGTCGTTCAGTGGAGCTAAGAAAGTGGTGCTTTTCACACTGGAGTTCCTTACGTCACCCAGTCACGTGAAGGCGGTGCTGCTGGTGGCATGGCCTTACGCGGTGGTCGGCGTGGGCTTCCTGGTGTTCGTGGTGCTGAACGATGGGATCGTGGTGGGTGACAGGACGAGCCACGAGGCCTGCCTCAACTTCCCCCAACTCTTCTATTTCTTCTCCTTCGCCCTCTTCTTCTCCCTCCCCGTCTCACTTTGCTACCACCGCGTTCTTCGCTTCCTCCACGCTCTGAAAAGACAGCCTTTGTTCTTCCTCTTCATCACGGGCGTCTCCTTGCTCCTGGTGTGGAAGTTCACGTTGGTCCACAGGTACCTCCTGGCAGATAACCGCCATTTCCCCTTCTATGTCTGGAACAGGCTCTTCCAGAGGCACGAGCTGGTGCGCTTCCTCCTCGTCCCCGCGTATGTCTTTGCAGGGTGGAACTTCCTGGACTCCTTCAAGTCGCGCTCGCTGTTCTGGAGTTTGGCGTTCCTGGCGTGCCTCCTGGCTGCCACAGTGCCCCAGAAACTGTTGGAGTTCCGGTACTTCATCGTCCCGTACCTGATGTACCGCCTGCACATGCCTCTCCCCTCACTTCCCAGACTCACCGTGGAGTTTCTTCTGTACACGGCGGTCAACGCTGCCACACTTTACATCTTCATCAGTAAGACCTTCCACTGGCCGAACAGCGCGGCCACACAGAGGTTCATGTGGTGAACTAAAGAGAAGTTCCCGGACTCAAACAGGGTGTTAGTCTTAAAAGAGAATCACAATAACACGTGACATCTCAAAAATCTAAGAAAACATCCCAGTAACAAGGCAAAAATGGCTCATGCTTTCACTGCTATAGCTTACACTGAGAATTATTATTGCTAGTTGTAATGTGACAATAGAAAACATTTTAATACTGAGTTTGATGTCAAAGGTTGAGTTATACTGTGTTTCCGCTACAGACTCTGCAGTAGGGCTTTAAATTTACTGTGAATCGGTCCACAATTACATAAACATTACCAAAAAAACAGTGCAGTGTTGGTATCGGTGTTCAATGTTTAATCATTGGTACTGCTCTGAATTATAATGGTCTGTGAATAAAAGATGTTTCTACTGTACATAAACAATCTTAGGTTGAAATGTTGATCCGGTGTAATTTAAACGTTTTCTGCAGGCTGGGTGTGGTTTTCTTACGGCACACTGTTTTGTACTTTAAATGTAAATACTGGGTGCAGTTCTATGAATCAGTCGTTGGTGAACTAACTGTTGACATAAGCTGTAAATAGGATTTAAAGAGACCAAAAATGACAGCCATATTGTAAACTTTCGAATTTGTATCGTATGGGATGTTTTTTGTAATGACAGTTTTGCTTTTTGATGGACACACTTGACCAACAGACAACTTAATAATTATGGGAATAAATTGAAGACATACGTGCGTATGTTTCATTTTTACCTTGATTTTTTTTTTACTTTGACCAAGCCATAAAGATCCGCTTTAGGTGATTCAGACACGTGTTGTTCACTGTTAATTTAGATGTTTTGGTTTTATTTTTGTGGTTTAAGTGTAACAGACAGTGTTATCCTGTATGTTTCCCCTTTCTGTTGGCTATTTTCATTGTGCCTGATGTGTGTGTCTTACTGTAAGATTTAATTATAAAGTTTCAATCCCAACAGGACCTGATATCAGATTTGGTTTGAGACTTTTCAAGTTAAGTTGAGTCTTATTCAAATTTATCATCACAAAGTCCCATTTCAACTGTATCAGAGTCTGTTACTGCTTCATGTTTACTCATTTGTCTGATAATGTTTCACACTTAATGTCCATCCAGCTGTATGCTGCTGATACAATCTTGTGTATACCTTTGAATAAAATCACTTGTGCAGCATCAAGTTTCAAGTGAAGTTTATTTATAGGGAACTTTTGGCAAATATATGGACAAAGGGCAACAAAATAGATAAAAGGAGCAAATTAAGATGTTTTTTCACAAACTCGTGCATGAGATTCGACTCATTCAGACAGATTACATCTGTCTAATATCGGATGAGTTAGTAAACAATGTGTCCACATCAGAGTATTTAAAGGGGTACTAATCAGATTTGCTCTGCAGGCAGTGGTGGAAGAGGTACTCATATCTGTTAAGTAAAAGTCATACATTCAAGGTTTTACTTCAGTAAAAGCACAAAAACACCAAAATGTAAAAAGTATTAAAGTTTGTTGGGCAGAATGATCCCTTTCAGAGTATTATTATATATATCATATTACACTGTAATGCAATAAGTTATTTTAACTCAAGAATTGTTGAAAAGGATTACATTGAAAATTTTAAGTAACACAAACTTAACTAAGCAAATGAACTTATCTGGTTTCACAGTGATTATTACAAATGCTTTAATGCCTAAGCAACATTTTAAAGTTATAGCTGGTGGAGGATTTTTTAAATACTTTATCTATTGTTGGGTTGTTCAATCTATAGTGCAGTATCATATTTTATAAAGTGAACACATGTTTTGATTAAATAAACATTTTTTAAATTCGTTAATCAGTTACTATAGCTGTTCAATAAATGTATTTCAATAGAAGTATAGTATAGTAGTATACTAATATAGTAGTATGAAACTGAAATACTCAAGTCTTGATTATTTTACCAGAGTCAGTCACTAGGAGGAGCTATAAGACAAAGCTTAATATTCCTATGACCAGAGCAAGCACTTGAACATTGAAGTAAATCAACCTAACTGCTTATTAATTCAACACTCTGAATAAAGCTTTCACAGCTGAGTAACACAGGAAAACGTAAACGCCTGTTTAAAACCAAACACAAAAAGCAAAATGGTTAGTGTGGATTCAGCCTTGAAGACAGTTTTCATGCTCTTCAAATTATCAGATACTTTCAAATCCAACAACAGTGGTGCTTTTGAACGAAACAAACAAGCAAACAAAGAAGAAACTCAGGCAGCCAGATCTGATTAGCAGGTTCTGACATTCATCGATTGCTCTGGTGCTCGTAGTAAGTTAGAGTAGTCTTTTGTATTTCATAAGTGAAATCCCAATTTGGAGGAAAGAAAACAAGTGGCATGATGATTGCTCTCCCTCTAACCCATTTCACTACTACATTAATTACATCGAGCAGTGTGGGGCCAGCTCACAGGTGAGATTTTAATAAAATCAAACAGGGATGATTATACAAATGTTGATTACACTATTCAGACACTGAGCTGTGTTTGGAAGAGAATGTTCAGGGAATTGCTTAGAAACACACAATATGTCATTTTGTTAAACCTCTGTGACTCTCTCTCTTTTCACTGTGTCATTGATTTTTTTACTGTGGGGCTCATGAAGGTGCAGATTAGTATTTTCTCACCACTGTGTTCTGGCATTTGGAAAATTACAGCCCAAGAGAGGGAGGGTGTTACCATCAGTCATGGATTTGTTTTATTTCATGATGCGGTTGTCCTTGTATAATGCAGAATATCTGATTAATCACTGATTGCATTTTGAGGAAAACTGGTAAAATGATGAGTCCCCCCCGCTGTTACCAAAGTTACATAATTACACTGATTGGCCCCGAGGATGTGGAAGTTCCTTGCCGACAAAACTTTTGAGGAATTCAAAAACATATTTAAGGAGTAAACAATCTAAAACTGGAAAACACAATCAGCTTTCACCGTCAAAAAGAATATGTAATAATGATTATAACAAAATATAATTTTTCTGTGTCGTTTCCAGGTTTTATTGACAGCAGCTGGCAGGCTTATGCTGCATTCATATCATATTCAAGTTTTTGTAATCATGAGTTTCCGACTTAAATGCATATTGTTACACGACTTAGGTCAGTGAGTCCATCATCTAATGCAAATGGTCCCGAAAATTTCACTTTATAATCATCTCTCATCTGATCATACAATTGACGCCAGTTATCCAACAATGTGAACATTTGAATGTGAATCTTTCCTACCTAAGTGTGAATGCAGCATAAACCCCATCAGGGAAAAAAAGAGACAAAACCACCAAACTGGCACTGTAGCTTACACGCCACACTGTTTTGTTAAAAATGCTACTGAAGAGAAAGCATCTAAATCTGGGGTCTTAAATTCAAATTGGCTCTGGGCCACTGCTGGTATTCTCGTCTCATAGGAGGGCCACTTCAGTGCTCTACAAGAAAGCTTAATATTTCGGAAAATATCTCCATTACTGACATCATACTTAAAAAATAAAATAGCAAAAAATAGCAGCCACAGAAATTGGTGACTTTGACAAGGGTCAAATTTATGATGGCTAGACGACTGAGTCAGAGCATCTCTAAAACTGCAGCTCTTGTGTGGTGTTCCCGGTCTGCAGAGGTCAGTGCCCATCAAAAGTGCTCCACGGAAAGAAAGTGGTGAACTGGAGACAGGGTCGAAAGGTATAGAAAGGTGTCAGAACACACAGTGCATCACAGTTTGTTGGTATGGGGCCGCATAACATTCTGACCATAATGTTATGGCTGATCGGTGTAATATCGTCATTTCATCTTTGTCGCAGCCAAACAACAAATGAAGGCTGGAAACCTGTTCTCTTTTTATCAACCCTTTCCATGCATTTGTGAGCACCTTTGACCTCAGCCATTATTTTGCGCAAAGTGAAATAATGTTTTAAAAATAGAATTGTATTTTTATTTTATATAAAGGGTTAGGTAATTAATTGATGTGATAAAAAAATAATAATCTTGCGGGCCTGCTTATATTATGTTCTTGGCATTAGATCGCAGGCCAGAGAAAGGGGGATGGAGGGCTGGTAGTTTGAGATCCCAGATCTAAATGGTACAAAGTGACATTTGATGGTTTTAAGTTATGCTGTTCAATGTGCTGCAGCTGACCAGCTAAATGTTCACATCTTTGTGCAGTCTGCATGTATAATCTGTGGGCATACATATTGGGCTACATGGGGACGATCCACACAAACCCTCAGGACATGAGCAGAATTATACGTCCCAGACTCTTGTGGTAACACTGATATGGAAACTATGCATTAAGCTTAACATATGTTTGTTACAATGTTATCGTTTGTATGAAAATAAGTTTGAGGTTTATCGAGCAAAAACAAATAAAGTCATTTAATTTCATTTGGATTTAAAGGCTACAAAGGGACAGGGTTGTAAATGCAAATCAGATCCTGTGCGCACTTTCTGTTTTGTACATTGTAGTTTGGATTTGTTGTTTGCATACTTCATAGTTTTGTCAGTATTAAACTTCCATATGAGAGGTTCTGCACTAATTACAGATCAATGGGTAGGTACATTTGTTACTGATGTGCTCAGAATAGAACTGCGTCATTTGTTAGGGGTGGCATGTTTTCTGTTTCTTTCTCTCTGTTACACTTTCTCTTTGTGTGTATGCGCACATATCCAAAGCACCTTTGTGGTTTTCATGTCTTCCCTGCCAGACTTTAAACTTGCGCAAGTATCAGAGGCTCTGAGCAATTAATTTGAAGAGCTTTGAGAAAGAGACATTTGTTTTCTAGAGCCGAAGGTGAGGTCAGGACAACACTGAAAGTCACTGAGATAGATTTGTTTTTGAAATGTAATCAGAGTTTGTTACTTAATCATTTAGAGCTGCAAGAACAGAAACTAATTAGGGTGAGAAAATAAGAAGGAGGGGAGAGATTTAACAGGGATTTACAGGTATGATATGAGAGCACAGTAAGACTCTCATCACATAAGAGGTGACTATAATTACTGCAGCTGCAGTTCAGGTTTCAATAAAATAACAGACTTGGGATTCACATTCTCATGTAAGACACAGAGAGGTCTTATGACAAGTCTATGTCCCCGTGAAAGTTTGTGTGTGTTCATATTTACTTGTATAACATACTACTTTTTCATGTATGCCCACACCTACAAATGGCAGGTGTGGTCTTACTGACCAAAATACGATAAGTTAACTGTGAATATTGCTGGTGAAAGTCTGTCATAACGCTGGTGTTATTCTGTATTTTTCTTCCTGTTAACAAAACCCCATGAAAACAACAAAACCAATAACACATTAGTCTGTCTCTCAATAATTTTCTTCTTCCCTACCCTGTCTGTGGCACTCAGCCCAACTGTTTCTACTGAAATCATTAAAACTGTCTCAGTAATTTGCTAACACAGCCGGGTGCTGTCTTTTTTAGCAAATGCTACACAAACAAAAGTAAACAGGTATAGGCATTTGTCGGGAACTATTTTCAACCACATATTAATACACTCATGAGTGTCACCAGATACATATCTTTTAAAGCAGTTCAGTTCACTTTCACAGTGTTTTTTAATGACTGATCTTCCACTTTCCCGATTAATTAAAGTTTTTGGCAGGCTGAGAAGATCATACAGTAAACTGTGACAGATACTGGAACAGATATAGTGTATAAAATAATATCAGCCATTTTACAGCAAAAAAAAGGTGACAATTTATGCAACTGAATGTGCCCTAAAACTCACCAGAGCACATTTTGTGATAATCTAAGTCAGAAGGTATCAGGTAAAATAGGTTTATGCACTAAATTGTGAATACAGAGGTTATCTGGTAACTTCCTTAGAAAATAGTGCACCAAAATTCAGTACAACATATATAAAAATGAACAATTTTTGGTGTTTGAGGTAGTTCAAAAGTTTCCTCAGTAGCACAAAATGTGGAATCTTTGCTTCTTTATATTGATAGCACTTAAATTGAGGTAGCAACTTGATGAGTCACTGTGTTAAGAGCTTTTTTGTCCTCTTTCTTCCCTGTCAACAAGTGCAACCAGCACTTCCTCTGTTAAAATGTAAATGAGTGAATGGTCGGATACCCCAAATTGTGTGTATAGCAAATCTTAACAGCAAATGTAAGTGTCACTGAACCATCTCCTTCATTTTCTCACAGTTTATTAGAG